TAACAAACATTCATATCTTTAGTGATTAGGATTACCAGCTATAGATCCTAACAGCCTAGGTTCAAATTGCAAATCTATTGTTTCCAAGATGTGTAACATTGAACAAGATATTTTATTAAGTTGTGTCTCAGTTTTCCTCCTTTGAATTTTGTTCTAAATAGAGCTATATGTGGCACTGTGAACTGTTAAGTCTCAGTGATAAGGTACAAAGTTCTAGTCTCTTGTACCTTGGCGTCCACGCTGTTTATCACTCACTTTCATTTCAATGTGTCTAAAATGAGTGATAAGGAGCAGAGTCACTGCACTTGCCATAGGAGGCAAGTCATTCTTTAGAATTTCTCATCCAGGTATCAATCTCAGTGGGAAAACACACACATCCACAGGCGTACACACATGTACACATGAAGCATTACTGGTGTTACGAGTTTGGACTTTTTTTCTCCTTTATCTCAAAGTCCTGCTGAGTTGAATTATAAAATCGATTTGTGGGAATTTTATTTTAGAAATTACTATTTGGAAGCCCCCTGTCTCTCTGGAATTTTTCCAATGATTGATAATCAGAATTTTGGAGACAAAAACATTTACATTTTATACGTGGCTACCACCAGTTTGAGAGCAAAATTTACAGTTCAGCCTGGACAGTGGATAGAGGTTTAGGGCCCCATGATCAGGGCCTCTCTCTGCTGATGCTGCCCTTATCCCACTGTCACACCCTATTCATGACACATAATTACCATGTATGCTTTCCTAGACCTGCTATGCTTTGGTTGTCTTTAAGATTTTTATGGTGAAAATTGCTTCAGGTGCTTTTTAGAAGAAGATAAGGTATAAAAATATCTATTCCTTAATATACTGTATAAGTCCCAGTGAAATTCATCAGAAAAATTGAAATGAAGAAAGCTGGATATTTTTACCTAGAGGGAAGGGGGTTTGCAAGGAATTAAATTACATCAGTGAGTATTTTAGAAATATTAAATCACAAACCTCATGTGTGACTAATGGATTAGAACTTTGAAAATTTAATAAAATAAATAAAACTTTATAAAATGATTCATTGGGATTTTAGCATCATATTCTTTTTGCCTACTTCATCCTGTATCAGTAATTCTGATACAGGAAAGTGGGCGCCAAAGCTTAGGTCTGGTCCAAAGTCCACATTAGTTTTTGTCTTCACACAGGATAGAATACAAAAGCAAGCCAAGAAAGAACATAAAGCAAATTCAAATTTATTGAAGTAGCAAAGAAACAGTGGGGGCTTCCCCATAGGAGGAGCAGTGGGTATCTCTCAGGGGAAGAGGGAGTAGAATTTTGTGAGCCTGCAGGGTCTTACTTTTTATTTAGTTTTGTGTTAAACAGAGAGAGTAATATTCATAGTATTTCTGGGAATGGTTTTCAGGCATTGCTGGAACCAAGGGTTCCTCTCCCTTTTAAAACCACATTGGGTAACTCTTGAAGTTGCCACAGCACCTGTAAACTGTTATGGTGTCTTATGGTGTCTTATGCTGTATGGATTTTTTTAGCATGCCGATACATAATAAGCAGGGTATAATGAATAGTGGCGTAACTTGAGGTCCGGTTTTCCCGGGACGTACTGGTTTCCTTTGGTTTTGTCTGCTTCTCTATCACTTCCTGTTTTATCAAAGGTCCTGGTTTAGACCTCATGACTTCCTATCAAGCCAGTCCTGATGGGTCCCTATCTCATCCTATGTATTTATATCCGATTAGGTGTGTTCTAATAAATGGAATACATGAAATTTAACATGATTTTGGAATCTCTCACATTTCCTCTATTTCTTTGGTGATTTAAAACAAAATCTATACCGTGACAGCTGCAGCACCATGTTTTTTTTCCCCTTTGTATTTTTCGTTTCTACCACTTGCCCCTTGCTGGATGTGCTCTGGGTACACTGGCCTTCTTTTAACTCAGAATTACTGTTTACTTACATCAGAAGGCCTTAAAAACTCCCAGAATGATTTGTTTCTTTTTCTCATCATGTAGGTCTCTGTTCAATTTCCCCTCAATAGAGGTGTGTGTTTTTATTTGTTTGATTCCTGTCTATATCAATTTGTACTGTGATACAAACTCCAAACTCTGAGGCTAGGAGCAATCATTATTTATTAATATATTTCAAATACATATGCATTTCCTGTGGATCAGTGATCTGGTCTAGGTTCATGTTCATCTGTATAGATTGACCAGGTTTTTTGTCTACCAGTACCTTGACTCTAAACCGGGCTTGTCTATAGGAACTTAATAGGGACAGCATTCCTCTACCTGCTTAACTTGGTTATATTCTTGCAGGGTGATGGCAGAAGAGACAGAGAACAAGCCTGGTTTCATAAGCATTGCTTACATCCCATTGACCAAATAACTTACAAGAGCACAAATTTAAAAAAAAAAAAAGTTAAACATCTCCTGATAGCCAGAACTGCTGTCACTTAAATGTATATGTGGATGGTAAAAAGGTAGATGAAGATTTGAAATGTGGGTCGTGGATACAACCTCTTACCTTCTCCATTTTCTCTTTTAGCTTTAGTGTCTTGACAGAAACTCTCACTGCCTGACTTTATGTATGTATATTCTGTCTTTAAGGACAAGATTTTTTTTTTTCACCATTGCATCATCAGTGCAGAGAATAGCTTTTGATTTGCATTAAAAGTTCAGTAACATTTGTGAAATTAAGACATGATTGAATGTGTTTTGATAATTAATAAAATGGCAGCATTTATTAGAAAATTGAAATAAATGGCGTTTGATGATTCTTGTTCTCAACAGGTACACAATCAGCTGGAGGGGATAAACAAAGTGAGGAAATAAGTTTGTAGGTGATTTAAGGGAAAGACTTCTTTTTAAGTCACTCTACAAGTGCGAGGACCTGACACACAGCACTTAGAAGAGTAGAGAATGTGGGGATTAATCAAAGGATGAAAGGATAAGTGCAATTAGACGGTCATGAAGCAAGGTGGTGCAAATGCTCTGTGGAAGCGGATAATGGTGCTTCCAAGTCTTCCAGCTCCTCATTGGAGCTCTAGTAGCATAGCGTAAAAACCTATTATCATTTCTTGTTTAGAAAATATAAATCTCTTGCCCAAATAACATAGCCAGAAAGTGGTAGTGACAGGATTTTAATGGCAAAAACTGAAGCCATTGATCTTTTCTTTTAATTGCACAGATATGACATCTGCAAAGGTACAGAGACATGCTAGAATAGGATGATATACAAGATTATTATTATTTTTTTTTTTTAGTGGTGAAGAAAATTTTATTCCACTACTCTCTTAACTGAAAATTTTGATCTCCTTTTCTTAATGGTTTGTAATGGTTTGTATGCTTCCTTTTAATTTTCTCCTTGGTACAAGTCAGATAATATTTTAAATGAGATAACATTTACAAAATTCTTAACATTTATCAAATACTTAACATAATGTCTGTGATTATTATTATTCCTATTTCGATCAGAATTTGAAAGATTCTTTTCTTTATTAAACCATAGCTGTGTACATTAATACTATCATGGGGTACAATGTACTGTTTCTATATACAATTTGAAATACTTTCATCGAACTGGTTAACATAGCCTTCATGTCTTTTTCTTAGCTATTGTGTTAGGACATTTATATTCTACATTTAGAGAGATTCACATATACCCTTATAGGATGAACCATAGGCATGATCCCACCAATCACCCTCCCTCAACCCATGCTCCTCCCTCCTCTCCCCTCCCTCTGTGGTATACAAGATTAAAACTCAATAAAATGTGTAGAAATAGAGTGAATGCTAGCGTATTAGTCTGGCTGCTGTAACAAAATACTATAGACTATGTGGCTTAAACAGTTTCCATTTATTTTCTTGTCGTTCTGGATGCTAACTGTCCCATGCTGAGGAGCCCACCAGTGTGATTTATTTGTGAGAACTATTTTTGGCTCATTGACAATACCTTCTCACTGTGTGCTCACACTGCTTTTCGCATTGCTATTGCAAAGAGATTGCTGGTGTCTTCCTCTACTTATAGGACATGGATCTTTTGGAATAAATGCCTCACTCTTAGGAATTTACCTAAGTTTAATTACCCCCATGACATCCTGTCACCAAGTCCAGTCACTTCATGAGGAGTAGGGGTTTGGAAGTTGGGCGTCCACAGTTAACCTAATTTGATTACTCCGCTGAGCTAGAAAGTTAAACCAAGGCACTGAAATAATGGACGGCAAAAAGGAGTGGACGCTGAGATTAAAATGAGTAGCACAAGCAGGTGGGTAGAAAGAAAAATAACCTATACAAGTTTCCGGGTAAGAAAGAGAGATTTTATTTAGGATAAACAAAGAGAAAGTTTAGAGCACCTTCACAGAGAGTTGGAAGTGGGTGACTCTCTGGAGGAGAGAAGGTGAGAGACAGAGACAGAGGTCTTCAGGGGTGTAAAGGCTTTCCTTGGCCTATCTATGCTTCCAGGCAGTATTGCCTTTCTCTGTCGGTCATCAATGGCCTCCTTATATTGGCCATTGGTAACCTAGGTTACTTCATACTTTCCCCCTTGCCCCTTCTTATGGGCCCTCCAGACATCAGGGTTCAGTAGGCCGGGTTGTTTTTTCCAAATCTCCCACCCCTTGAAGTCCTTTTCTTAGTTTTTCTTCTCAGTAAGGTTTTCAACATTTGGATTTTGGGGGGGGAATGGGGTAGTTAGTACCATTTAGGCTATAAGAACTCAAAACATAAATGATAGCTTTAAATCACAAGTACTTTTAGAACTTGAGTTAAATTTTAAAATGAGATATTTTGGTCCAGCACTGGATGCATATTCGTCCAGGGAGTACCATTTTCTGAACACTGATGGTTCTTTATGGAATGTGGTATTTTCAACCTGAAATCTAAATGAATTTTACAGGCTAACATTTTTCTTCCATTTTCTTTTCTTTTCTTTTTGTCAACAAATGGCAGATGCTTCTAGTGGGGGGGGGGGATTATAGAATTTTCTGAAAGGATTTGCCTTTCTCTTATTTTACAGGCCCAGCAGCTTACTGATCTGGAACGAAAATTAGCTGTAGCCAAAAATGAACTGGAGAAAGCAGCTCTTGACAGGGTAAGTCTGTATCCATGAGCCGTTCCAATTTTGGTTTCAGCAGATACAGCGAGAGTATATTCACTGATTCCTTTGATGTTTTAATGTAATTTCAGATGCTGTGCGTGTAAGGTGGTTATAGAATCCATGAATGTATGGCATTTCCTTTGAAATCCACATGTATGTGGAATATACATATATATTATGTAGCATATATCTCTATATATTATGTAGCAGCCAAAAAATAGCAAGAATATATACACGCACATACCTATATAGACATATATTTTAAAAATTATATAAATGCTAGATATGCCATTTATAGTATGGCATGTTAGATATGACATCTATTGTATTTATAGACATCTATATATTCCTTTTAGCATTTACTTCCAAGTGATATTTGCATGATATTTTATGTTGCTCTCTGTATGCCCCAACATGGTTCAAGTAAATTTGTTTAATTGAAGAAAGTGAAAGCGTTCTGGCTGCTCTCAAGTACTTTCCATTTGTGTGATCCGAGCTTAGTAACCATTTTATTGAAGAATTAAACAAGAGAGATGATTAATCGCATTTAGACAGTTGTTTTGCAATAACACAGTATACATTTAACAATTTTGTATAGAAAGGAGGTTCCTCTTAAACACCAGTTTCAGCCATGGATGTTCTGGTACAGAGAAGAGGCGATACAACATCGAATGCTGATTCCTTTAGAGCTTTTCTGATGTTCCTTCCCTCATCCCTCATCATGCAGTGATGTGACGGACCAGGCTACAATGTGCCTTTTCAGGGACTTGCATCTCAGATAGGCTCATTTCTTTACTTTGGTATAAGCAAAACTTCATAGGAAACATACTCAGCTCAATAACAGGATACCTAGAAAATGCTGCAGTAGTCAAATTAGTAAGGATCTTCTGTAAATTCTAATAATATTTATTTTTAAAGTTTATAAGTGTGGGTCAAATACAATTTTTAATGACTAGACATTTTAAAACTTCATCATTTGTGATTGTCTTATCATCTATTGATTTATCTAGTTTATTAATATTTAACAGCTTCTGGGAGTCTGACTGCTTTGTGTGGTCTATGTCAAACGTAATTTATCCTACAAATCCTAGGTTGATAAGATTTTTTTAATTTATAGAAATTAAATTTATACTGATTTATGATGTTCTGTAACAATATCCAATTCATGCTACATATTTAATGCAAATCACTAAATGTGCCTCTCCACGTAAACATAAATAAACATAACGCCATGTTTCAGTAGAATAGGCCATCTATTTCAATAGATGCAGAAAAAGCACATAAAACCCAGCACCTCTTCATGGATAAAAGGAAAAAAAAAACACCCTTACAAACTAAGCATAGAAGGAACATACCTCAAAATACCTCTCTACATGACAGACCCACAGGGAACATCATACTGAATAGGGAAATATTAAAAGGATTCCTCCTAAATACTGGCACAATGTAAGTGTAACCACCTCTCTTCAACATAGTATTGGAAGTCCTAGCCAGACCATTATGTTGGGAGAAAGAAATAAAGGGCATACAAATAGGGAAAGAAGAGGTCAAACTATCTTACCAATGATAGAATCCTGTTTCTAGAAAAAATCTAAATATTCTAACAAAAGAGTCATTGATTTGATAAACAAATTCATCAAAAGCTCAGGTTACAAAATCAACACATACATACATTGATAATATTTCAATATACTAATAACAGTCAAGCTGAGAGTCAAATCAAGAAAGCCGTGTTCTTTGCAACAGCTCCAAGGAAAATAAAGTATCTAGGAATATATTGAATCAAGGTGGTGATAGATCTGTAGACAGAGAACTATACAACACTGATGAAAGCAATGATAAATGATTAAAAAATAAATGGAAAAACAACCCTTGCTCATGGATAGCAAGAAAATATCCATATTGCCCAAAGAAAATCAATTCTCATAAAAATACCAATGTTATTTTCATAGATTACAGAAATAATTAAGCCTTGTATGAAACCCCCCAAAAAGAAACCAAATAACCAAAGCGATTATATATAAACAAAAAGAGCAACACTTAAGACATTATATTAACTGACTTCAAATTATTCTATGAGGCTAAAATAAGTAGCATGGTCCTGATACAAAGGCAAAAACATAGACCCACAGAAAAGAATACAGAACCCAGAAACAAAACCAAGTAACTATGACCCACTGATTTTTGACAAAGCAGGAGAAAACATACCTTGGGGAAAAGATGCTCTATATTCAATAAGTTATGCTGGAATCATTAATAACCACATGAAAAAGAATGAAACAAGATTCATGTCTCTTGCTGCATTCAAAAATTAAGTCATGATGAATTAAAGACTTAAATGTAAAAACCTAAACCATAATAATTCTGGAAAATACCATAGACGTTAGCCTGGACAAAACATTTATGACTAAGACCTATAGACAATATGGCAACAACAAAATATATAGCACTAACTTAAAAAGTTTCAGCACAGCAGAAGATAATAATGAACAGATTCTTTCTACAGAATGGGAGAAAATATTTCCAAACTATCCATCCAACAAACAGCTAATAATCAGAATCTACAAAGAACTCGGACAAATTGGGGGGGTAAAACACTAAAAACTGGACGAAAGATATGAACAAATCTTTTTCAAAAGAAGATAGACAAATGGCCTAAAAACATATGAAAACCTGTTCAGCATTACTAAACATCAGGAAAATGCAAATTATAAAGACAGTATGGAGTTTCCTCAAAGAACTAAAAACAGACTTACCATTCAGTCCAGTGATCCCATTTCTAGGGATCTATCCAAAGGGAAGATTATATAAATAAGACACCTATACCTGAAGTGTATTGCCAATGCAATTCACAATAGCAAAGATAGGGCATCAAGGTGACTGCCCATCAATTGATAAGTGGATAAAGAAAGTATAGTCTCTCTCCCTCTCTCTGTATCTCTCTGTCTCTCTCTCTCTCTATATATATATACACATATATATGTATGTGTGTCATGTATAGAATATATATATATAGTATGTGTGTATACATGACATGTACAAATATATACATGTACATATTAAGTACACACCATGAAGTACTACTAAGTCACTAGAAAGGAAATTAAATAATGTCTTTTGCAGCAACTTGGATGGAACTGAAAGTTATCTCAGCAATGGAAAATCAAATACCACATGTTCTCACCAATAAGTGGGAGCTAAACAATAGGTACATATGGTCATAAGGTGGCATAAAAGACATTGGAAACTAATAAAGGGGATCCCAGGAGGAGGTGAGGGGTGAGATCTTACCTGTTGGGTACTATGTCCATTACTCTAAACATGAGCACTAAACGTCCTGACTTCAGCAGTGTATAATTCATCCATATAACAAGAACACCCGTACCTCCTAGTATTTTGAAATAAAAATTATAAAGAATTGCTATATGTCTTTTTACAAAATCAGAAACCAGAGTTCTACATAATCCTAAAGTTTATCTAGACCACCTGTGTTTCACCTTTCTCTACCATTCCTGCCACAATTTTTACAATACACTTGAAGTTCTAGAAAGACATTGAATTTTCACAATCTGTTATCAGCCCAGCCTTTTGTTGGTTATTCCCATCTCTGGCTCCTGGAACATTTCTCCTGATAATAATTTATTTGCTTGATTTGATGCGAAATAATCCTGTTAGCCAGTCAGTGACTAAAGAGCTTTGAAAAATCATTTGTGTGACCATCCTGTGCTAGGTACTATGGAAAACAGAAAATACATGAGACATGGTCTCGGGTCCCACACATTTTCCTATAGTACCAACTATTAGGAAATATTAATAATTTATGCTGACCCGTGAGGCAATAGAAACACAAAGAATACATTTGGATTTTGTGAGTACCTGTATCATTTGGAATGATATAGTCATAAAACACTTGACTGGCAAATTATAATTTAGCCTGAATCAAATAATTCAATATTAAGGTAGAGTTATTCCTCTCTAGTTTTTCACGTTCTTACTCATACTCTGCTTTCTTTTTCCCAATTTTACCTTTGGCCTCTACCATTATGTGCTTGCACCGTGCTCCAGCCTGGGTTTCAGAATGAGCAGCTGTGAAGCTGCAATGATTAAATAATGGTCTACACAATCAGTCTGAACGTTGAATGATCAAGTTCAGATCCCTCAAATTCTATATGTCTCCTTGGGAATAATGATGCAACTTACTTTATAAGAGAGAGAGGAAACTTACGTACATCAGAAAAGTAAAGTTCTGGGAAAACGATGGAGCAAATGAAAAACACTTATTCAGTAAACTTAGTCGTTGTTATTATTAGTGAATGAAATTGTAGAGATTGTCAGTGTTAGCAGTTCCCTCTTTGACCTTCAGGATCTTGTCACTACTTTTGCTATAATAAAATATAAAAGCATTTCAGATTTCTGGGGGCTGACTTTACCAAATCTTATGTAAGATATATATGAGGCTCATAATAGCCATAAAGTCAGGTACAAATGCTGGCTCGCTTCAAAATGGATAAAAACTATGCTTTAATGAAATTGTTCTTCACCTCTCTCCATCATCTTTATAAGAGACGTTTTTATACTCTTCAGATGTCTAGCTTCTAAGCATGTTATATCTGGGCTCCAAATAACCTTAAGTACCTCGTAAATATTATGAAAACAACAGCTTCACACTCCAACTTGGTTCTTATGACATATTTAATGAAAAAGCCTCAGTTTTTTATCTCAATATAAACAATAATATTAAAAGCTAGGAATCAACCTTGAGTTTCCAAATAATTATTTATTTGGCAACATTTTATGAATTACAGTGAGTCTCAGGTCCTAGAATATGAAAACAGCCTTATGATGTGGAAATCTGTCCAATTTTCACTGTAAGATTTTTTTGTATACTGTCTGAACCTCACACAATTTTGCCCAGGAAAGTGTGCATTATTACATCCATATAACAGATGACATACTGGGTGACCTCTACAGATGCCCATGATTAAGAGATACCG